TTCATTCGGCGTTCGTTGCTATGGTAACAGAGAGGAAAGCAGACGAACTTCATGTTGCGGAAGAACGCTGCGGCGCAGCGATACCAGGTGCGTTCTAAGGCCCTTCCCCCATGCTTTTTCAATGGGCGGAAGGCGAACAAAAAGAGTTCGAAATAAGGACTTAACACAGAATGCTGCATTTCTCCTGCGCCTCATTATTTGACGAGCCTTGCAAGAAAAGCATGTTTTTAGACCGGAGTTGGTAAAGTATCTATGTGCCTATTCGGCGTAGAAGGTTTGGTGCGGAGAGCATTCTAAACTGGAATCAGCAAGACGGTTCTCGAATTTACCAGAACATCACAGCGTCAACAAAAACGCGAAGACACGAAATAGAACCGCGGCTTTCAGCGTGGAAGACAAGCGCGATAACCGTTATGCCGCGGGCGCGCTGGCTACTTGGTCAGCTGCGCCCGCGGCAATATCCAGGGGTGGTAAGACCCCATACCAGCCATCGCAGTAAAAAATGGTTACTCAGAGGGCAGCAGCAGCGGCAGCCTCGCGACTCTACTCTTCTGCGCAGGAGAGATAGTGCTCTTACAGGAAGCTTAAGCCCTCAATCCGTCTGAGGAACCCTCAAGATGGGCCCAAATCGCAAACAGCCTTCTTTCCTCCGGGAAACAGCATCGACCTGCTGCTCATGCAGTTCGCTACAGAAGATCGCGCCAACTTAAGAAGGTGGCTCTACGGCTCCATTTACCGCTACGGATTCTTCAAAGCAATGCGGCGTTAAAGCTGTGTGCGTCGCCCTGAGCACCAGGTAGTTCCGAGCTCAGTTACTACCCAGTCGCAGGTTAAGCACCGAGGAGCAAAAACTCGCTGAAGACACGCAAGTCTGCTTACGTGTCGGAATGCCAAAGCATTCCTGCAAGCAGCGCATTCTTACAAGCAGCGCGCCATGTTTTCTTTTCGCAACACGGCGGTGAGATCACGCTCCCGGCCCCACCGCGCAGGTGCGGCGAGCCCCGCCAGCCTCACGACGGCCTTCGTGACAAAGCATCTCCGTTGCTGTGCTTTTCGTTCTGGTCTATTTCCGAGGCGCGTGCTTGATGACGTTGTTTTATGGCCATCTTACAGGGACAATGCCGACGGCATTTTGCGTAATGGGACAAGTAAGTCTTTCGCTTTAAAAAGAACCAGGCCGAGGGGTCCGAAACCCATTCCCCGGGTGGGAGCCGCGCGCGTGGCCACTCCGCCACGCATCCGGCAATTTAATATAGTTACCGCTTCCCATATGCGTTTTGTCAGGAGTATACTTTGAGTACTGTCTTTCGGATAATAGAGAGCGAGCTAGAAAAGTAAAAGAAATCGCAACCGTTTCCGAAATAAGAGAAACAAAGGGCGGGTAACTGTCGCGCATTTGCTTCTTTAAGCAAAAACGGCAATCAAATAATGTTACCTTCAAATTAATATAATTTAGAAAGCAGTCACTTACCAGACAGCTCCCGGCAAACATATAAATATAAATGAAAGCGCGGTGATCGCAACAGGAAAAAAAATGCGAATCAGGAGAAAATGTGGGCATCGTGGCTGGTATGTCAATAAACTACGCCTTGCCCCATGTCAGATGCATAGATTTGTTAGCCCATTAGATAAATAAATAAATAAATAAATAAATAAATAAATAAATAAATAAATAAATAAATAATTCAAGCATTAAGAGTCAGGGACAGAAGTCCTTGCTGTTTTCAACCTTGTATGACGTTCGAATTATCTATCGTCGCTTTACATTGAAACACCAACGCACTAACATCAAGGTGCAGCGCAAATAACGCGCAAAATAGAATTCGTAGAAAAAACTTACGGATAGAAAGATATCACCAAGGGGCAAAGCGGGCTGAGGACGAACATAAGGCTAAGAAACGGTGGCGTGAAGAGCCGTGACCCGCCAGGTAATCCCCTGACCCGGAGAATTTCCGAGAAGCTGCCATAATGCGCCCACGGACTCGACGAGCCCACCCGCGTCCTCCCGAACGGACACATTCCCACGGCGACATGCTCGAGGGGTGTCATCGTGAGCTCCGGTTAAATTCTGCATCGTTCGACTCCTCCGCTACCTGCCCAGCGCGCCACCGCTCTAGGAGCCGGTGGGCGATCTTCGACGGCGCGAGTACAGAGAGGCTAGGTTTAAGAGAGGGTGCAACTCGAGCCACGGAGACGTTCCTGCTGCTCAGATTGGTTGCTGGTGCGCATGCGTGCGTTACCAGGTGGCGAGGAGGAGAGCAAACGGAGAGGCTGAACCAAGCTTGGAGACGCCTTCTCGAAGCTTGTATCGCCAACGCGGTCCGTGAACCGTGTGACCCTGATCAAGCAGCAGGAAGCGTTCTCTAATCTCGCGCATCGTGCGTGTGGCCCGAGCATTGCGACAGCGGGCGTGGTCCGTGGCCTCGCCCTTGTCGCGACGCGGTCTCCAAGGACGCCGCGTGTCCAAGACCCGAGGGGCGCCTTCGAGTCCAGCCCACGTGCTTCGTGCACCGACCGCGAGGGAAAGTCATCAGTTTCTGCCAGATGTCCATATCAGCCGCACTGATCTAAGAACGTCTGCCGTCATTGAATTTATTAGCCGCTTAAATGCTCAGGAGCGACCTTACATGAGGGGGGGGGGGGGGGGGGGGGGGAGGGACATACTGTCACTGTAAGATTTGGCACATGGTACAAAGAAGTAGAAAAGAACAACGAAGGATAAAAAGTTGAATTTGAAGCCGTAAAAAGTAACGAGCGCTTTGCGAAAGTTAAAAAAAAAATCTGTTCGTACTTTTGTTAGTAGAAAGCAGTAAGGAAGACATTTCCATGCTATTGGTCGTATAGATTAATGCAGTTTTCGAGTTATCTAAGCCATGGGAGGTGTGAGGTGCGGATATGCCAAACAGGATCTTTTACAAAAAAAAAAAAAAAAAAAAAAGGTGGTATTAACATTTGTGCATTACTGTTAGGGTGGATAGTGTTCTCCGTGCTCAAAGAATGGGGAGGCCAATTTAGGTTTTAAAGGAATACTTCAACGAAATTAGAAATACACCCGTCGTGTTGAGAAATAGGCTTAAAAGGATCCACAATATTCGTAAATGACAATCGCACATTTGTGTCTTGAGCCTGATGGCTGTATTTTTCGTAATGAACGGCCCACTCTGGAGTGCAGCCAGTCGAAGGCAGCCAGTGGAGGGCACGTGATATCCAGCGCAATCGTGACGTAGATTGTCTTGGGAGGACCAAAGCTGCGGCGAGGCTGACGTCGACAGGATGTCCTAGCCGTTCCATCCACCGAAGTGGCCGAAGCACGCCAGCGATCGGCCCACCGCAACTAACAGCAAAGCTACTTTTGTACGAATTTCGAGTGCTGGATTAATCTTCTATAATCTTGAAAGGGAAAATAGCGACGTCTGGGGCACACGAAAGAGAGTCCCGGTGACAGGCCGGGTCTTCCTCCTTCCCATCTTCTCTCGTGGTGGCCGGAGAGCATGTACAGTTCTAGGCGAGTCAAGGTAGTGACTCGCCTACCTGTCACTACCGGTCAAGGTTCCTAGGCAGGCATTTCAAATGTGGCTTTATTGACATCCACCAGGTGCGCTTTGCTAATCGTTTAAGTCGTTTTAAAATTGGTTTGGGGTTTTTTCAGCAAAAGAATGGTGCTTCCGATGTGATACTGCTCTCTTGAGCACGCATAGACCAAGAAATAAGCGCCGAAATTTCGTTGAAGTATCCTTCTAAGTGCACTGACGATAACTGTAAATTCATAGTTGCAGAAAATAAATCATACGGAGTGGTTTTGGGCTGCCTCTAGCATCTTCTATGAATAACTGATGCTGATTCAAAACGGGTGAAGCGCACGCCAGCTGAGGTCGAACCAGTGACGTGTATGCCAGGAGTTTACTCTCTTTAGAGGCATGACAAAGGAGTACATCTTGTTAATTTTGATGATAATGTGATTTATGTGAAACTCCCGTGAGCGGTTACCTGCGAAGTGAATCACAATACACTTACAACTGTGAACTTTTTCTACGGTCTGAACTTAAAAAAATTGTAGCAGATATTATTATGTTTTCTTTTCAGTTGCACTTGTCAGACTAGAAGGAGCGGGCCAACTTACACATGACTCCTCTACACACGTGTCTAAACCCTTCTTCTCCACGAATCGTTCCGAACCTAACATTCGAGTATGCGTCGTCAAATCAGGCGTCAACACAGTAGTTAGAGTGATTTTCATTTGCCACCTTTCAAACCAGGATTCAATATGGTCTATTATTTGACCACTCATATTTTACTGCTTTTCTCTACTATACTTTTTTGTATCGTAAAACTTTTTTTTTTGCCCCTTCCCTTTGTAATGCCTCTGGATCTTGAGGGTATTAAATAAATAGATTGGCTCGTGGGGCGGGCGCAGCCAAAGACGCACTGCGCCGGCAAGGAACTTGGGTAAGCTATGCCAAAAGGGTCACGTGATAGGAAGATGGCGGCAGATATGCAAAGCAGCAGTAAAGCGTCCAGGCATCAATTTAGTTTCACCGCTAAGCTTTGCGAAAAAATTGACGTCATGTTACCTGACATCACGGGTCCTATACACCGAGTGAGTTTTTCATCTAGGTTTGGGGGAGGGGGGGGGGGGGGAATGTCCCCTGACCTATGCACCAAGTTAGTATCCTCGCTAAATTTAGCGAGGAAATTGGTGTCACGTGGCTTGACGGCTGGTGACATTATACACCAATTCAATTTCCCCGTTCAATCCCGCGGGGAAATTGATACAAAAGTAGGTTCTTTTTTACTCCTCGAAACGACTGTTTATTGTCGTCTAAACAAATTTAACGAATCCCTACTTAAATACTGCATTCGATATATTAGAGGACTTTGGAGATAAAGGTTAGCTGTACATTGTTACTCTAACATGCGCATTCATTCCTCGTAACAAAACGAAGTAAAAAGCTTAGCGGACAGAATTATTCTATGTACGATGGCTGGAGTGCCTCACTCACCCAGGATCTCGACTCCCAGCTTCGGGTTACTCCAGATTGCGGCCCAGACGTCCTGTGCCAGCGTCGTGACCCTGTTTCCGTTCAGGTAGACTCTCCGCAGGTTCGTCATGCCATCCAAAAGTCCCGGCGTCAGGAAGCTCAGTCTGTTGTCACTGCACAGCGCACCCGTCCCCAGAGTGGCAGCACCGTCATCCGTACCCCCCCCCCCCCCCCCTTTTTGACCGAAATATCTTGAGGCAGAGTTTCTCATTCGCCTTTAGAACATTATTTTTAGAGCGCAGCTCTTAGGCGCGTTTTCTGTGTTTCGTGGCGTCGACGTCGGCGTAACCGGGCTAAATTTAACGAGAAAATTGACTTACGTGACCTCAACATGATTTAAATTTCCCGCTAAATTTAGTGGGGAATTTAATTGGTGTTGAGATCAGGTGACGTCAATTGTCCCGCTAAATATAACGGAGAAACTGAATTTGTTCATAGGTGACGTCGCACCAAGTCGTGTGGCGTCACTTTTTTCGCTAAATTTAGCGGCAACTGAATTGCAGGAGGAGGAGAGGGTATGGAGAAGGAGGGCCATACCCTCCCCCTTGTACCATCCCCTCCTCTCCTCAAGAGCTGCGCTCTAATTTCGCAATGCAGAGATTTGTAAACGTCTTTCATGTTTTTATCAGTCAATTTTCATGAAGTTCTGTAACTTTTCGTCTCGTAGTCTCGTAGTAATCTCGTAGTAATGAGCTCGTAGTAATAAAAACAAGCCACCAACAGTTTCAAAGATTATTTGACAGTCTAGCCAGAAGGCTATGTTGTCAAATTTGTTTACATTATAAGGAATTTACCTGGAGTATTACTTGAAGTATGAACCAACTAGCTCAGCTTAATTAGCTGAGGTATGAACCAATTAGCTCAGCTTAAGCCTGTTATAGCCAAAAGGGTCCAACAGACGGAAGTAATAATGCAAAAAACAAAAGTGCTTAAAGAACGAGTCAAAAGTCTTTAACAAAACGTTATGTCAATACAACAAAACATTTTCGAATTCCAGAGGAAGCTGCTCAGTCTAGAAGATCATAGCCGCCACAATAAACTTAGTCATTTTTATTCCGGAAGGTGAAACGGCGGATACGTTAAAGTAAACAGCACTAGATGTATTTTCAAAGAAAAGCTTGGAGTTCGTGTTAACACTGTTGAACGCTTACATCGCGTTGGGTGAAAAACGAACAGGAATCGACCCGCCATCGTTTTATTTATTGATTCCGCAGATAAACATACTCTTCTAAAGAAATGCCGACTTCTGAAGGGCAGCAAGATAGCAATTGGACACAGCTATTCCTGGATGACACTTCAAAGGCACACTCTCCGACATGCAGCTAACGCTGCTCTTAACGCTGCAGGTCTTGACCGTGCCAAGATCGGCCGTACCGTTCAATCCGGCAACTGCGGGGCAGTTTTCGCTGGCTCGCCCCGGCCATCTTCCACGTCATCTAGACGGCACGTGCCAGCAAGCCACGGTTTCGACAGAGAGCCATGTCATACCTGCTAACATCTGCTTCAATGACGACTGGTTCATCGATACTGGTCCGCCAATCGTCTTCAAGCAACATGAACCACGGGGTCGCACCCAAGACTACATAAGGGCAGAAGACTTTGGCTTTGTGGGATTTGGAGCCGGCACACTTTCTGACATGCAGCTAACGCTGCTCTTAACGCTGCCGGTTAGTTTATACTATCCAACCTAAGAGCATAAACTTTTGTGCACTGCCGGCTTTTCCCTTTTCTGAAAAGTGTTGGTGACATTTTGCTTAGGCAGGCGCGTTTAATATCTCTGAGGCATTTCCGTCTCTTCGCATTGCCTGTCTTGTATTTAATTATATTGTTGTTACTTTCTGCAGATATAGAGCTAAACCTTGGTTTTCTTACAGAAGCCGACATGGAATTACTAAGGCCCCTCCAAAATGATAAAACGGTCACTATGCAGAAGCTAGGCAGTATCGACCTCAGATTCGCCAAACCCGAAACTATAATTGAATGGAATTGAAGTTCATTTGACATATGAAATGTCGGGGAGGGAGGAGCAAAAGGTTGCCGAAGCTATCTGACGAGGCCCCATTCCCCTTTTCGGCGCTACACTAATCACAGCAGCAGTGTAGAAGTCAGACATATAAAATTCAAGCTGAAAATATTTTCACAGAGACTGTTTTGACATAAATTAAACACAAGCAAAAGACAAATTAAGCACAAACTAAACACAAACCAAACACAAAACAATGTAAGAAATAAGCGACAAACTTAACACAGCCGATGGTCAGATCGAGGAAGTTAACAAATTAGTGTCGGATTTTGCAAACCGAATTCGTCATCTTACTGACGAAGATAGCCGGGTTAGAGAACAAAAACTTCGACCTTAAAAATAGAAGTCGAAGACAAAATTTAGCTTTTTTATGGAATAGAAAGCGGTAGTTACTCCGAAACATGGAATGAATCAGGGAACGTTGTTAAAGACATCTGTAAAATAAGTTGGGAATCGAACTAAAACCTGTAGAAGGGGCCCACCGCGTTGGCCGGTTTAACGAAACATTTAAAATTCCAATCACTGTCAACTTTGCCTTGTATAAAGAAAAACAGGGAGTTGTGTCAAAGGCCAAAAGGTTCGAGGGGTCGCTTTCCAGCGTAGATGAGGATTATTCTTTTGAGATTCGAGTCCCGCGCAAGCATCCGCGGAAAAACGCAAAAGAAGAGAAAAAAAAAAAAAAAGAAACAGGAGAAATATTGCAAACCAGCTGAAGCAGAATTTTGACAAACCCATCATAAATGGTAAGGCTTTCACATGAAAAAAGGAGACAGACAGGTTGTTCCAGTTCAGAAATGCGGACGGCCCGTTAAACCGAAGAGGTGCACTCGACACGAACTAATCGCTATGCATAAAGGTCAAATACTTCCTGAAGCTCACTGATTGCATGAAAACGAACTCTAAACGTTTTTGTAACTATATTAAGAGTTGTGCGTCGGATCGCGTAGGAATCACTGAAAGTGTACGAAATAAGCGGCTAATTTGAGACGACACAGAGAGATCGACATGTTTAAATAACTACTTTCAGTCTGTTTACTTGTCCAAATGCAGCTACAATGGTCCTTTATACGTTTGCGCTGTTCCTAAAATGCAACCAATAGAATTTAGTGTACTTGGAATTGAAGTGTTACGAAAGAAAATCTATGAAACCAAAACTAGTGGCCCCGATGGCATCTCACCACGCGTTCTAAAATGGTCTGCTCAGTCATTATCGTCCTATTGCTATTTAACTTATACCACTTACTTGTCTAAAGCCATCCTGCCAGACGACTAGAAGGTTGCTCACGTTGTGCCCATTCGAAAAAGCGGGTCAAAGAAGTACGTCTCAAACTACAGACCCATTTCATTAACATCTTTCAAGGAAGGTCATTGAACTTGTTTTTATAGAGATATTGTGTCTCATAAACGAAAATAATTTGATTATAAGTAAACGACGCAGCTTTTGTAAGGGAGTATTTTGTACAACACACATTCATGAATTATTTCACGAATTGGTCTCTGGTGGTGACGAAGGTAGACAAACGGACTATTTTGTTTTTTATTTTCGTAAAGCACTCCATACGGTCCCACACGCGCTTCTTCTCCGGAAACGTAAGATATTTAATTAAGACCTAACTGTAGTAAGATGGATTGAAAATTATTTGTCTCAACGGCGACAGTGTGTGGTCTTGAACGGCAAGCTGTCTGATTACGTTGAAGTGAAATCTGGAGTCCTCCAGGGCTCTGTCTTGGGACAACTTTTGTTTTTACTTAATATTAATGACATTTCTAGTAAAATATTATCCTGTATACGGCTGTTTGCAGACAATTGTATTTGGTTCAGGTATATTTCAGTGAACAAGGTGCAGCCCAATTACAAAGTGACCTGGTACGTAATGAAAAACTGGTGTTGTATAGGGAAGATGAATTTCAATCCAAAAAAGCTGTGTCCAGGGAAGCTTCACTGGGAGTAAGAAGAAAATGGTTAATCAGTACAGTGTGAATAACGGATTCATCAAAGCCGAATGTATTATACAGATATCTGGGTGTAACATTGTCGATTGACTGTGCATGGAACGCTCAAGGCGATGACGTGATTTTAAGGGCCGGCAGGGCATTGAATTTATCCAGCGAGGCTTAATATAATTCCAGGTAAACTTGAAGAGAACTGCGTACGTGACTTGTGTTAGACGAATCCTTGAATATGATTGTGCTGTATGGGACCCTGCAAGAAATACCTAATTGAAAAACTAGAAAAAATCCAGAATAGGACGGCAGGTCTGTTCTGGGACGATACGGGCGCAAGGATAGTTTTACTGATATAAAAAGGTAGTTGCCCTCAGCACGACCGAAGAAACAGACTAAAAGTTTTGTTCGAATATTTATTGCCAAGCTGGGAATTAACTAAGATACTTACCTAAAAAAACCGCACAATATTTACAATCGAACCAATCACTGTTTCAAAAGAAAAGACTACCGTACAAGAACAAAAATTTACACAAATTCTTTTTTGTCAAGACTATTTAAGAATGGAACAAGCTGTTGGAGGAACAAGGGAGCTCTGAAACCGATGAGATGTTTTCTTCACGCCTATAACCCCCTGCAATAACGCCCTCAGGCAATGAGGAGTAATTCTTGAATAAAGAATAAAGAATTAAAAATACAGAGAAGTGAATAAAGAATAAAAAATAAAGAATAATGATTAAAGAATAAAAGAAATCGTGGGAATATATCAAGCGGTATCCTGGTAACGGGGCAAACGTTTTCTTGCTTCCTGACAAGAGAAAGATAGGCGACAATATTTTTTGTGGGACGACATCACTGGGCATATTTGTATAGCAAACAAACAGCAACTCACCCTGACAAAAAGTGATGCCATAAATGAGATAGTAAGCACCCACTGAAATCATTTAAGACCTTGACCTTCAATGCCAGAACTATGCTAAATAAAGTAGACAATAGAAATGAACTTGTTGCTTCATGATCCCACATTGTTGTTATTACGGGGACATGGTTGCACGATGTTATTGGAAACAACGGAATTGTTGTTTCGTAAAAAATAATTCAAGAAGGCAAAGAATGGAGAGGCAATTGTGTGGCCATCATTTTAAA